TGCACAGTCATGCAACGCTGCACCCAAATGAAATGTACTTCCTTTTTTCCCATGAATTGAGCTTTCTTTCAGTGGTATTTGATCGCCTGTGCATTTATTATTTTTTGCGCTATAAAAAAAAAGACAGACAATTTTGAGAAAAAAAGTCTTTGACTTTTTGCTACTAAACATGTCCAGTAAAAAAAAATCGAATTTCATCATAAATTTAGGCCAAAATGTATTCTGCTGTGTCTTTGCTAAAAAAATATCCCAATATGTGTAAATTAATTGGTTTACGTGAAAGTTATAGCGTTTACAAATGGCGGTATAGTTACTGGAATTTTTTGTATTTTTACTAGTACTGGCGGCGATCAGCAACTTATAGTGGGACTGCAGGACTGCGGAGGGCATTCTGAAACTGGGGGGAACTGACTTGGTATCACTGACATCCCCAGTGACACCAATACAGTGATCAGTGCTAAAAAAAAGCACTGACACTGTACTAATGGTACTAGACAGGAAGGGGTTAACATGAGGGGCAATCAAAGAGTTAACTGTGTGCTGTGTGCTGTTTTACATAGTGCTGTGACCCTGTGCTTCACTGTAAGCACACTGCTTTACATGGCTGTGCTGGGCATAGCCATCCAAAGCAGTGTGCACGATCTGACGGGGGAGAGCTGTTTTGTTTACAAGCATTTCTCCTCCCCGCCTGGTGACTGAATCAAATGGCAGCGCGGGTAGGGCACATGCGCGCCCCCTACCCGGAAATGCTAAATCATGTATATATACGTGATTTTACACACCCGTGCCACCCTGTAGCAGTATATCTGCTATAGGGTGGTTGGGAAGCAGTTAAAATGATTCTCTACCAATTATGCAGTATTGTTTTTTGCATTGGTGCATGGTCCCCCTGGCAGTGTTCAGCTTCACACACCTTTCTTTGACAATAACTTGCCTATTAGCCCTGAAATAGCCGGAATTTCTAAACAGGATTGGCTTCCATTAAATTCAGTTGGATTTGCCACTATGCATAGGTTTGCCAAATTTTAACCAGAATTTGACAAACACTTGGCGAATCAAAACTGAGCAGATTCATATATTCCTAATCTTGAATTTGCTTACTGCTCTGTATTGGTAGAAATAAATGAAAGAACTACTCTGAAAATGTGTCAATCCTTATATTCTATCTAGCTGGACAGCATGGACTAGTTTGCAATGCAGGTGTTTCCCTGCTCAGCCTTCATAGGCTTACCCAGTAATTCCACCCTCCCAAAAGAACACCTAAAATATCATATTACCTTAGTTTGTAGACTTAGCAATTGATATGGTATGTATATTCTGGTCTCGGGAGATTTTTTTGCTGGATTTACGTATATTATCAGGAGAGGGAAACAACAGTTGTCTGAGGAAGTCACAAAAGATGACCTGCCAACTCATCCTTTTAATTACGGACACATATGGACTATACAGTTATTGTGGCTGTTTAAATGCAAGTAAGGTGCTCAATGAACCTTAAAGTGTCAATTAAACCCAGACTATGAAAAACTCTCATTACATGCTATATAACAGAGTGTGGGTGCTCACAAAGCCACTAAAGTCATTTTGTGTAGAATTAAATATACCTGGCTGAACCTGCTTTTAGCTGCCCCTCTCATCTTCTCTGTGTCCCCATTACAGCCCGAGATTGTGTAGACTAGCTGTTGTCATCTACTGGGCATGCTCCAGTTTCAGTTGCCTTCTAAGCAGTTCATTTCCTCGTTTTTCTTATCTGTGCAACCCATGTGACTATGGTAATTACTATGGTAATTAACACTTCTCTGTTTAGTCTCACTTTAATAATCACATACCCTTCTAACTTAAATAGACCTTCTCAGGTTCCCTTGTCACCTTTTGTCTCATTTACAAAATACTCTCACTCCCTTGTTTCCTTCTTCCTAACTCAATATACTAACTGGTTTTAGCTTACCTGCACTCTTTTCCCCTCACTCTTTTCTTTGCCTTTGGGGGGAATTTACTAAAACGGAGGAATCTGAAATCTGGAGCAGCTGTGCACAATAGTAACCAATCAGCTTCTAACTTCAGCTTGTTCAGTTAAAGTGTCACTAAACCCAGGACCCTGCATTCACTATATCTGGTCTCCCACAGTACACAAAACATGGAAAATGCAGTTATTTTAGTAAATATAAAGTGCTAAATACCTTTTCTCATCAGCAGTTAGAGCAGTCTAGTGACTTCAGCAGAGCACTGGTTAAAGCTTGTAGGAGGAGTTTTCTTTCTGCTGTAGGAGGTTGCAGAACCCCTGACCTGCTGATTGACCCTGTGCTGATCACATGCACTCTCCCTAGAAAAAAAATATCTCTAGCAATACACACTAAACTGAGCATGTGCAGAGTGTCTCCACATGATATGTCTTATCAGGAGATAAGAGGGGGGCACTGGAAGAAGGAGAGTATCAGAGAAGTCAGGATCAAACAGCATTTTTACACAATGCAGAGGATTATCCCCTCAGATTCAACAGTGAGTATAACAAACATGTTTTACTGCATATACAGATTGATTTTACTGTTGTGGGTTTAGTAACAATTTGTAAAAACAACATTTCATATTCCTGATTTGTGCCTGCTGTACTTGTATGAAAAAGTATCCTGTTCTCTTTGTATTTCTTTCTTGTATTGTGTGAAATCCCTGGTATTCCTGCCAGTCCCTTTGTTTTCCTATTAAAACTGACCACACTAGGCATGAGAGCACACCGTGGTCAGTTTTCTAGCTATGCTGGGAACTCAGCCCACTCTCCTCCAATGATCAGAGTTCTGCTGACATGCCCCCCCCCCCCCCCATCCTGCACAGTGTGTCACTGAGAAGATCAGTGTGCTCCTGTTTCTCCTCCCCCAGCTCTCTGAGCACAGAGGGTATATAATAACACAAATGTGTTGCCTTTAATTTCTGTTATAAACTAAATTGGCTGTTTTACAAGGTGAGGGTTTAAAATAATTTTAAGCTCTGGAAATAAAAGCTAGAAGCTGATTGGTTGCTGTGCACAGCTGCTCTAGATCCTCTCTGCTCCAATTATAGTAAATTCCACTTAATATTACTAAGACAGAATAGTGTGATTACTGTAATGAAATGACATGACTGCATTATATTGTTAACAGTAGGTATACCTATGACCTGTCTTCTCATTGGTCACAAGAATACAATACAATTATGTTAAATGGTATTTCCAAACGAACTCACATTTAAGCTTGTGTGTAATGCCGATTCTGACCACAAGAGGGGGGAGTTCATGAGAGAAGATGCCAGATGAAAGTAAATTTGTCATCACTAATTATACAATATGTTTATTCGACCCTATCCATCTATGCCCAGCTTGCTACATTTTCCCTTTCATGTTGCTCACAGCTTCTTATTTTTGAATATCACAATTTGACAGCAGTTAATATCTGTGATAAGGAGCCCTGTGATTCATTATATAAAGCCTGAAAATATAACTTTGCAGAAGGTATTTATTTAATATACTGGAAAGTCATCCTCTTTTAACAGTAGCTAAAGATATTACACTTTATTTTTGAGAAACTCCAGTGCTAGTTTACATAGCATATAAACTAACTGTTCACATGATTGCAGTGTGTTCCAGATATACAGACAAGCAGGAGAACATGCAATGGAAACATCTCCCCAGAACAGTAAATTGATTTCCACCTTATTCTGAAAGGAAAGTATGCGACTCTCAGACACATCCATCTTGTGTAGCCTAGCAAGATTGATCACCCATAGCATGTCCATAGTTACAGTCATATCCTTAGGAAGGTAGCACCTACATTTCCTCAAAGAAGCCTCGTTAGAAAAGTTTACTTTATTCTCCAGGCTTTTACAATGTAGTATTAAAGCTGAGTAATGGACAGAATGTCAGTAATGGACCTTTTTAAATACTCGGATGCGGTAAGATACCACTTAGTGAATTGTGTCTACAGTGTTAAAAACGTCATAAGTTTTTTCAAAAGGCACATTTCCTTATTGTTGTTGGCTGCAATTGTTTTTTTTACATTACCTTTTTTTTTTTTTTTTTTTTTTAAACCAGGACTTGAAAATAAAGGATCCACACTTTTGAAATCTCCTTACCCCACCAAAGCCTGCAAAGGTGAAAATAAAGCTTCTTCTGATAAAAAAAAAATATTACATTAAAAATTATTTAAAAAAGAATACTTGTAGGCCTTCCCCTTGGTACATTTCCATGCAGGGATTGTGGATACTGCACATTTACTGATAATACTACACCATATATTCTACATAATGGGGAGACTCTAAATATGCTGCATTTTGTTTCCTGTCAGACCGTTGGCATTGTATACCTGCTAAGATGCCCATGTAGCTCCTTTTGTGTTGGCAAAACGAGGCATAGAGTTTGAAAAGTATTCATGACCATGTGAAAGATCTAGGGAATGGCGTTCTGGCGAGTACAGTTGCTCGCCATTTCACCAGAAGTCGCAGCTACAGTTTTAGTGGTCTCCGCTTTGTTGCATTGGAAAAAATACATCTCCACCTGAGAGGAGGGTATTTTCACAGGAGCATATTACAAGAAGAAAGTCACTGGATTTACTGTATTCCTTAACCACTAGCCTAGAGGGCACTTATACCCCCTTCCTGCCCAGGCCAATTTCCAGCTTTCAGCGCTCTCACACTTTGAATGACAATTGAGCGGTCATGCAACACTGTACCCATATTAAATTTTTATCATTTTTTTGTGACATATATAGAGCTTTATTTTGGTGGTGTTTAATCACCTCTGGGTTTTTTATTTTTTCTTAAACAAACCAAAAACCACTGAAAATTTAAAAAAAAAAATGTTTCTTCTTAGTTCTTGTTATAAAATTTTGTAAATACGTGATTTTTCTCCTTCACTGATGTGAGCTAATGAGGCTGTAGTGATGGGCACTGATAGGCTGCACTGATGGACACTGATAGGTGGCACTGATGGGCACCGATGAGGAGGCACTGGTAGGTGGCACTGATGGGCATTGACAGGAATCACTGATGGGCACTGAAAGGCAGCACTCATATATGGCACTGATAGGAGGCACTGATAGGTGGCACTGACTGGCAGTGATAGGTGGCACTGATTTGCAGCACTGATAGGTGGCACTGATTGGCATTGATAGGTGGCACTGACTGGCACTAATGGGTGACACTGAAAGGCAGCTCAGATGGGCACTGATATGTGGCATTAATGTGCACTGGTAGGCACTGAAATGTGGCATTGATGGGCACTGGCAGGTGGCATGGATGAGCACTGACAGCTGGCACTGATGGACACTGACAGGTGGCACTGCTGGGGCTACACACATCATCAGGGCACACTGATCATCAGTGCCCTGATGATCTGTGTACATGTCCCCTCCGAGGAATGCGTGACAGCTCGTGAGGAGAGAAATGCCGATAACCAGCATTTCCCTGTTTACATGTGATCAGCTGTGATTGGACACAGCTGATCACATGACCGAGCCGACATCTTCGGCTCTTTCCATGGATCGGTGATCTGCTGTGTCTGAGGGACACAGCGTATCGCCGATCGCCACGCTGTTCGCTCCCGGAGCCACGCATGCGCAGTTAGAATGGGAGGATGTCATATAACGTCCTCCCAGAATGAGAGAACCGCCTTGCGCCCATCATTGTACTATAAGGCGGGCGGGAGGCGGTTAAAGCATGTAAAAAAAATGGGACTGCATGAACAATTAATCCCTTCCTGCCGACCATCCACATATCTGCAGCCTCACAGAACTGGGTTTATTTCCTGTGAGACCGTATATATGCATATCTGTCTTTGGGCTGGAATTCAAAATTGTTTGAATTCACTAAAAAATACTACTAAAATACTGCATGAGTTATTTTATCAAGTCATGTGGTATTTTAGTAGTGAATACCAGGCGTTGTTTCAGCTGTCAGTGGAGTTTCACGCTGACAGCTGAATGTAAAAGAAAGAATTGCCGGCAATTAAAAAATAATTAAAAAAACTGTGTGGGGTCCCCCCTCCATCTGTACCAAGCCATTCGGGCCTGGTAAGGATTGAGGGGAACCCCCACGTCAAAATTTTTAAAAAAATGGCGTGGGGGTCCCCCCTAAAATCCATACCAGACCCTTATCCGAGCATGCAGCGGTAGGTCAGGAAAGGGGGGGGATGAGCGAGCGCCCACCTCCTGAACCATACCAGGCCACATGCCCTCAACATGGGAGGGTGCTTTGTGGGGGTGCTCCCCCCCAAAGCACCTTGCCTCCAATGTTGATGGGGATAAGGGCCTCTTCCCCATAACCCTGGCCAGTGATTGTGGGGGTCTGCGGACAGGGGGCTTTCAGAATCTGGAAGCCCCCTTTCACAAGGTAACCACAAGATCCCCCCCATGTGAATGAGTATGGAGTACATGGCACCACTACCCATTCACAAAAAAAAAAACCTGTAGTGTGAAAAAAGACAGGAGACAGGTGTTGACAAGTCCTTTATTAAAAGAAGGAAAATAAAAGAATGTTCCCCGAAGTAGATCCAACGGCAATCACGATGCCCGCCGCCACCAACCCAAAAAAGAAAAAAAAAGGCTCTGCTCCCAACGCTGGCTCCCGGCCATCTGACTGCTCTGCTGGCTTGACAGTTCTTAAATATGTAAGGAGCAAGGTCACCCAGTGATCACCCATGTGACCCCGTACCCATGTGACATCATCAACCAGAGTATGCTGGGTCGATGATGTCACACAGGGCGGGGTCACATGAGTGATGTCAACCACAGCCCAGGGTTGTGGGTAAGAGGCCCTTGTCCCCATCAACATGGGGATAAGGTGCTTTGGGGCTTTTAAGCCCCCCTGCCCCAAGGCATCCCCCCCATGTTCTGGTATGGTTCGGGGGGGCGCTCGCTCATCCCCCCCCTTTCCTGACCTGCTGGGCTGCATGCTTGGATGAGGGTCTGGTATGGATTTTGGGGAGGACCCCACGCCATTTTTTTTTAATTTTGGTGTGGGGGTTCCCCTCAAAATCCAAATCAGACCAGAAGGGCTTGGTATGCATGGAGGGGTGGAGGGGGGGGGGACTCCACGCTGTTTTATTAATTATTTTTTTATTGACGACAATTTTTTTTTTTTACATTCAGCTGTCAGTGATGACTTATAGGTTGTTAAGGACTCCGACGCCACCCATTCCATAACAACCCATGACAGTACTGACAGATACCAGTACATACCGCATGCCTGGACCACTAATTACCGCATGCATTTCATTATTTATTTCCTTTTGTGAATTAACTTTAAGGTCTTTTTATGCGGTATTTACAGAGTGTGTTTGCTATTTTTGGTAAATACCTCATACTAACAATAGTGAATTGACATTTTCAGTATCTCATGTGATATGTGGTCATGTGACTGACTTAACTCATGCAATAAGCTTTAGTGAATTGTGCCTTATATTGCATATGGACAGGGATAGAATGTAAAGAGGCTGCAGGACAACAGAGGATTAAAAAAAAGTAAAAATCCTCCCCTCCCCTACACCTAGGGGAGGGAATACAGCATTTTGCTACCTTCAAGATATTCAGTAAGGGTTACCATTTACTTTTAAAGCAGAACATCACTCTCTTAATCAATATTTACTATTGTTAATCCTTATGCAGCTAGCATTAGTAAACAGATGGCAAAGTATATAATATTGACACTATATTGCCAAAAATATTGGGACACCTGCCTTTATACACATGAACTTTAATGGCATCCCAGTCTTAGTCTGTACTGTTCAATATTGAGTTGGTCCACCCTTTTCAGCTATAACAGCTTCAACTCTTCTGGGAAGGCTGTCCACAAGGTTTAGGAGTGTGTCTATGGGAATGTTTGACCATTCTTCCAGAAGTGTATTTGTGAGGTCAGGCACTGATGTCAGATGAGAAGGACTGGATCACAGTCTCCACTCTAATTCATCCCAAAGGTGTTTTATCAGGTTGAGGTGAGGACTTTGTGCAGGCCAGTCAAGTTCCTCCACCCCCAAACTCTCTCATCCATGTCTTTATGGACCTTGCTTTGTGCATTGGTGCGCAATCATGTTGGCAGAGGAAGGGGCCATCCCCAAATTGTTCCCACAAAGTTGGGAGCATGAAATTGTGCAAAATGTCTTGGTATGCTGACACCTTAAAAGTTCCCTTCACTGGAACTAAGGGGCCAAGCCCAACCCCTGAAAAACAACCCCAGACCATAATCCCCCCTCCAACAAACTTTACACTTGGCACAATGCAGTCAGGCAATTACCGTTCTCCTGGCAACCGCCAAACCCAGGCACGTCCACTGGATTGCCAGACAGAGAAGCGTGATTTATCACTCCACAGAACACGTCTCCACTGCTCTAGAGTCCAGTGGCGGCGTGCTTTATACCACTGCATCTGCCGCTTTGCATTGCATTTGCTTTGCATTGCACACAAAGTTTGGAGGTCTTTAGCTATTGCCTCTGCAGACAGTTGGCGACTTCTGCGCATTTTGTGCTTCAGCATGTGCTGACCCCGCTCTGTAAGTTTACATGGCCTACCACTTCATGGCTGAGTTGCTGTTCCCCAGTTGCTTCCACTTTGTTATAATATCACTAACAGTTGACCGTGGAATATTTAGTAGCAAGGAAACTTCATGGATGGACTTATCACAACCTTATGCAACCTATCACAGTACCACGCTTGAATTCACTGAGCCCCCTGGAGCGACCCATTCTCTCACAAATGTTTGTAGAAGCAGTCTGCATGCCTAGGTGCTTGATTTTATACACATGTAGCCATGGAGGTGATTGGAACACCTGAATCCAATGATTTGGAGGGGTGTCCCAATACATTTGGCAATATAGTGTACTTGTTTTAAACCTTTTTTTTACATTTCTTAAGTTATTTCCTGGTTTCCAGGCCTAGGGCAAAATACATCATACATCCTAGGTGCCTTTTGGGGGAAGGGGTTTTCTCAGCTAACCACAACCTTCTTCTTGCATGCCTGAGCTAAAGGCAGGTGGATTCCAGGAAGTAAATGCTACATGAATTATCTTCTCTTACTCAAGATGGCCATGGCCAGAAATTCTAGGCGATGTTTTTCAAAGTGATTTCTCAGCAAAATAAAGGATGGATGAGTTTGCTTTGATTGTCAGTGAATTTTATAGTGTTTTTGGTTTGTGTTGCTCAGGTGCAGTGTAGTTCCACTTTAACAGACCTGCCAATGTCAAGTACACAAGTCCTACACTAGTCTCTCCCTACATGCTTTATTAGCAGCACCCCTTATGCTTTCCTTATCACAGCTAAAGCATATTGTCAATATAGCTGCTGTGACCTGACTCCTTTATACAGAGGAGGTGGATTATCAAAAATCCCCCTTATTAGTCCTTCTAAGCCAGCTAACCTAAGCTCAAGGCAAGGCAAGGCATTTTGGTTACAAATACAGTAATGTGATCTGGTGAATTCCTGTATTATTTTGCAGGGTTTGCAAACCTCAAACATGCAGGATTTGATGCAAACACATAGTAGCAGTTCTGTGAACCTGAACCTCATCCCTCAACCACTTGCCTACCTTGCACTTTTACCCCCTTCCTGTCCAGGCCAATTTTCAGCTTTCAGCACTGTTCCACTTTGAATGACAATTGCGTGGTCATGTAACACTGCACCCTTATGAAATTTTTAGCAATTTTTTCCCACAATTAGGGCTTTCTTTTGGTGGTATTTAATCACCACTGGGTGTTTTATTTTTTGCCAAACAAATACTGAAAATTTTGAAAAAAAAAAAGGTTTTCTTAGTTTCTATTATAAAAATTTAGCAATCAGTAATTTTTTCTCCTTCACTGATGTGAGTTGATTAGGCTGCTATGATGAGGCACTGATAGACAGCACTGATGGGAACTGATGAGACGACACTGATAGGCAGCACTGATGGTCACTGATAGGCAGCAATGACTGGAACTGGATGAACTGGATAACCACGTTGTTGCCATCATTTGGCTATAGAGTAGTCAGGAAGTGGTTAAATAATGTACAAAGGTGGTTTGGAACACCCAAAATTATAGGAGGGTACAAATAGCATTAGGGGTACTATCTTCTGTTGGCATTAGGAAGTACAACTTTCTGTTGGGATCTCCTAGAGATATTTAAAATCAGCAAAATACTAGACCTGTGTGTTTTGTTTCATTACGATTGTATTTTCTGATGAAAAGTTCATTTTTGGAGATTTGGATGTATATGAATCTTTCATTGAACGTAGTAATGAATGTCAACGAATCGAAAAAAAGTTATAACGAAGTTAACAAATGCATTTGTTTCATTCGTCTCAATCGGATGTCATCACGTGTTGCGATAGTAGTTCGGGGCACATGGGGAAATTAATTACATTTTCAAATTTGTTGATAATGCAGATAACAAATTGATCTGAATTTCATTCCATTCGTTAATTTGGATGCACATGACGCCAGTCAATATTGTCCAATCTTCTCATGCCATTTTTCTGTGTTGGAATAGCATCTGAAAATATTGAATCCTTCCAATTCGAATCCATCTGATTTGATAATGTATTGAATAATTGGCAGTCTTTCAGAAAATGATGTAGCGCTCAATAACATCAAATATA